TTCATCAATTCTATGATTAACCTCATCCTTCATAAATCCATTCGCTGACACGTCAACTCCCAAATATCAGAAAACATTCACTTCTTCCATACTTCTCCTCCCCAATTTGATATCCAATTTTTCTTTACCTAAATCATTTGATACCCTCATCACCTTATTCTTTTCTTGTTCACTTTCAATTTTACTACCTTTACACACACTCCCAAACTCATCTGCTAACCTTGCAATTTTTCTTTAGAATCTCCCCTTTAAACACAGTATCATCAGCAAAAAGTAAAATGTGTCAATTCCATTTTGTATTTAATTCCCCATAATTTAATCCCCCCCCTCTCCCGAACACCCTAGCATTTACTTCTTTTACAACCCCCTCTATAAATATATTAAACAACTATGGTGACATTACACATCCCTGTCTAAGACCTACTTTTACCAGGAAGTAATCTCCCTCTCTTCTACACACCCAAACCTGAGCCTCACTATCCTCATAAAAATTCTTTACAGCATTTAGTAGCTTACCACCTATTCCATATACTTGCAACATCTGCCACATTGCTCCCCTATCCACTCTATCATATGCCTTTTCTAAATCCATAAATGCAATAAAAACTTCCCTACTTTTATCTAAATACTGTTCACATACATGCTTCAATGTAAACATTTGATCTACACATCCCCTTCCTCCTTGCTGATCTGCAATTCTACATTCTGTCTTGCCTCTAATTCTTTCAATACTGGTATACTCGGTAAACTTATTCCTCTATAATTTTTACAATCTCTCTTGTCCCCCTTCCCTTTATATAAAGAAATTATACATGCTCTCTGCCAATCCCTAGGTACTTTCCCCTCTTTCATCCATTTATTAAACAAAAATACCAAAAACAACAACACTAAATCCCGCCCCCCCTGCTTTTAACATTTCTGTCATGATCCCATCAGTTCCAGCTCCTTTACACCCTTTCATTCTATGTAATGCCTCACACAACTCCCCCACACTCACATCCTGCTCTTCTTCACTCCTAAAAGATGGTACACCTCCCTGGCCAGTGCATGAAATTGCCGCCTCCCTTTCTTCGTCGACATTTAAAAGTTCCTCAAAATATTCTCGCCATCTACGTTATATGCCAAGAAATGAGCAAAAAATAAGCATTAATACTGTATTCTAGTGCAAAAATATCTTCTTGATTACCTGTTAAATACATTCTTACAGTAATGTACAAATGCTAAACTCTTAAGGATCTTATAGCATCTGGGAAATGAGAGAGAAGTAGGTTTGATATGAGAAATAGGGTAGAAGTTCCATTCCTCATCATGAACCATTTACTGGTATAAAGAAGCCAGCAGCTAGAAACCCTAGCAAACCATGACCTCAAGTGCCAGAAGTCAAAGTATTGAAAGGATGAAAATGATAGACAAGTCCACAAGCCTTGCCAACATGGTAGTTGTTGGTGATATACACCATACATACCATATGATTAATTAACAATTATTTAGTTCCTAATGAATTTAAGTTAACTAATATTACTGTCACGAGGGACATGGTTATTAAACAGATAGACAAACTGAAGCAAAATAAGTCCCCGGGACCCGATGAGCTGTTTTCCAGGGTACTTAAGGAATGCAAGATGGAACTTAGCCATTAACGAATGTATTCAATGCGTCCATCCTTACCGGTGTTGTGCCAGAGTTGTGGAAGATGGCTAATGTGGTTCCTATATTCAAATCAGGGGATAAGTCCACTCCTTCAAATTACCGTCCAATAAGCCTGACATCTATAGTGGGCAAGTTATTAGAATCAATTATAGCTGACATTATCAGAAGTCACCTTGAAGAGCATAACTTGATAAATGAATCTCAGCATGGATTCACGAGAGGTTGTTCCTGCCTGACAAACTTACTGACGTTCTTCAATAGAACATTTGAGGCAGTTGACAGTGATAAGGAATATGATATTGTTTATTTGGATTTTAGTAAAGCCTTCGATAGAGTACCTCACAAGAGACTTAAGAAAAGTGGCAGCTCATGGTATAGGAGGTAAAGTTCTAGCATGGATTGAGGCATGGCTTACCAATAGAAAGCAGAGAGTTACCATTAATGGAGTGAAATCTGAATGGGGATTAGTCACTAGTGGCATTCCACAAGGATCAGTTTTAGGCCCTCTCTTGTTCATAATTTACATTAATGACCTTGATGAAGGGATTACTAGTGACATGAGTAAGTTTGCTGATGATACAGTGGACCCCCGCATAACGATTGCATCACATAGCGATTTTTCCGCATACCGCTTACTTTTATCGCAAAATTTTTGCCGCGCATACCGATTAAAAACCCGCTCACCGATTTTTCGTCCGAGACGCGTCCAATGTGCCCTCAGCCAGCCTCACATGTGCCGCCCGTCCCATTGTTTACCAGCCAGCCTCCGCGGTAACATCCAAGCAATACACTCGGAATATTTCGTATTATTACAGTGTTTTCGGTGCTGTTTCTGGAAAATAAGTGACCATGGGCCCCAAGAAAGCTTCTAGTGCCAACCCTGTGGTAAAAAGGGTGAGAATTAGTAGGAAATTAAGAAAGATTTTGAAGGGTTTGGGGCTAACCCTGAGAAGCCTATGCCAGTTGTGGAATCCATTGTGCCTACTTCAAAGATTAAGGAAATGTGTGCACAGTGGTTGAACTGCAAACCTTATGGATGAAAATCACCCTGACACAGCTGTTGCAAGCCGTGCTGGTGACTATTTCAATGACAATGTTGTGGCCCATTTTAGACAAATCGTAAAGGAAAACGGGGGGTACAGAGCTCTATGGACAGATTTGTTGTGCGACAGGGTCCAGTGACTCTCAAGCTGGTCCAAAGTGGCATTAAAAGAAAAGGGAAGTAACCCGGAAAAGGACTGGCTACCTCAAGTCGTAATGGAAGGGGATTCCCCTTCTAAACAGTAAGAAGATAATGCTCTCCCCTCCTCCCATCCCATCAATCATCACCAGATCTTCAATAAAAGTAAGTGTCAAAGTAAGTGGTGCATGCCTTTTTCAGTTTGTGTGATTAAAATTAAAATTTCATGTGGTAAAAAAAAATTTTTTTTCATCTTTTGGGTGTCTTGCACGGGTTAATTTTATTTCCATTATTTCTTATGGGAAAATTCATTCACATAACGATTTTTCGCATAACAATTACCCCTCTTCACGATTAAAAAAACGTTAACCGGGGTCCACTGTAACAAAATAGGCCGTATAATTCACTCTGAGGAGGATATCAATGAAAATTCCCGGACGATTTGGACAAAATTTAAAGTCTTGGGCTGAAAAATGGCAGATGAAGTTCAATGTGGATAATGTAAGGTACTTGCCCTTGGTAATGAAAATAAACCCTCGAAGCTATAATCTAGGTGAAGTAGAGCTTGATCATACAGAATGTAAAAAGACTTGGGGTCATGGTAAGCAGAAATCTAAAGCCAAGACAGCAGTGCCTTAGTGTGCGCAACAAGGCCAACAGATTACTTGGATTTATCTCAAGAAGTGTAAGTAACAGAAGTCCAAAAGTTATTTTACAGCTCTATACATCACTAGTGAGGCCTCATTTAGATTATGCTGCTCAGTTTGGTCCCCTACTACAGAGGACAAGACTCTTTAAGAGAACATACAGAGAAGAAGAACTAAAATGTTTTTACTGTGTAAGGAACCTCCCGTATGAAGATAGACTGAAAGCCTTAAATCTCCACTCTCTGGAGAGGCGTAGAATGAGGGGAGATATCATTGAAGTGTATAAGTGGATGACGGGCATAAACAAGGGAGATATTAATAAAGTACTGAGGGTGTCGAACCAGGTAAGAACCAGAAATAATGGATATAAGTTGGATAAATTTAGATTTAGAAAGGACATAGATAAGTACTGGTTTTCTAACAGTTGTAGATGCGTGGAACAGTCTTCCCAGTGGGGTGATAGAGGCTAGGACCTTGGGTAGCTTTAAGAAGAGACTGGACAAATATATGAGTGGGAGGGGCTGGGTTTGATTGGTGTCATGGGGTATGGGAGTTATTTCTTGGGTAGCTTTAGGTAGAGGTCGTTTTGATAAGGACCTGCCTCATATGGGCCAGTAGGCCTTCTGCAGTGTTCCTACATTCTTATGTTCTTATAAAAAATTCGAACCAAAACTTTCAAGAAAAAATCCAACATTCAATTATAATTCGTCTGACTAGATGTCCATTTTTCCTGACTAGGCACAAAACACTCACACTGATGCCAACTGTAGGATTTCAATCAAAATATGCTTATTGGATTTTCCATGCCTAGAACTCTCATTTTTTTTAGTAAAGTTTTCTCGTGAAAGTAAATATAAACCAGCTTAGAGCCATTTTTTTTTTTTTACCTCAGAGTTCTACCAAAGTAGGAAGACCCAAAAAAGAAATGCATTCATAGTCATACATTCAATTGCCGGTACCAGAAGGGTGCTGACATAATTCAGATGACCCTCTGAAATGCAACATCGCCCAACCCTCTTAGTGCTGGCACTGCCTAAAAGATATTCTTAGAAAAGTGAAACTGTGAATATCACCCTGGCATCTGGTTTTTGTATAACCAGGAGCTCTTACTAATTTAAGTGATGATGAAGGTGATCTGCCACCAAAATATTAGTCACTGTACCAGCAAGATACCATCACTAAGCAGGAAAACAGTCATAAGTTTTACTTTTGGTAGCTAATCAAAATTACATTAAGCAATCATTTGTTAAGTGAGGGTCTATTGTATATTCCTTTTAATAATCTTGCTCTCTAACATCCTAATTTTAAATTTTTTTGCTGTCTTTATGACTGGCAAATTTCATTAAATATGAAGGATTAAAATTTAGTGTATTTGTTACTTTTCTTCAAATAGTATTAAAAAGAAAGACATTGACAATGCTGTTCAAGTTCAACTTATTCTTTCTAAAATTAGTAACAATGATCAAGTTAATTTAAAATGCTCAAATTCAGAGGGTTAATCTTCTCATACAAACAGCACTTACCCATTTCCAAATTTAGAGATAATCATGATAGGACCAAAGCTCTCCTCCTTGGCAATGTACATATGATCTTCAACATTGGTGAACACAGTTGGGTGAAGAAAGTAGCCTGGTCGGTCTACCCTCTTGCCACCATACACCAGTGTAGCACTCTCCTTCACACCAATGTCAATATACTCCAGTAATTTATCCAAGTGAGCCTTGTGATTCTGTGGTCCATGGGCAGTGCCACGGTTCAATGGATCTCCAATTACCTGAAGATTTACATATAAATTCATAATTAAAATGCAACATAAAATATTTTCTGATACAAACAAGGTATATACTGACACATGTATAAGAGAGACATGCAAGGTGAGGTAACTATATTAATGAAATGTTTCACCCACCAGGGACTTTATCAATACAGAGACATGAAAAGCAGTGATATTTAGTAGCAAAAATCAGGTGTAGTGTATGTGGGGTCTGCAAAATCCTCAGTGATGTCATCAGATAGAACAACCAGGCTGTGAAGGATATATGGGCCAGAGGGACACCAGCAGCAACAGCCTAGTTGATCAGGTAAGCACCACACACACCTGGCCTATGGTTTGGCTACAAGATTAGGAAAACTCCTGAAACCTATTAAAGGTACACCTGACCTGGAGATATTAAAGCCTGTCATAGTGCACAAATATCTCCTTTAACTGTCCAAACAGTTCTACATTCTTACTGCTAGTGCTCCAAACAGATCAATATTTTATTTTTCCCTGCCTTCAAATTTGGCACAATATGCCTAGGCAGTACAGAAGTGTGTGCAGTATTAAGAAAAGCTGGGACCACTCAGTACCTTGTGCGAGCACCAGTTCAATTGAGCGCCAGCTAAAGCAAACAGTGTTGCAAACCCCAAGGATTCACTAATTATCTAGGATAACCCAAGAAGTCCAGACAAAGTTCTATACTGTGCTTATAGTTAATGGCATAAGCATGACTGTGGCAAGTAATATGCATTTCCACTTGTTCAGATGTGACTATTCTGCAACATATGTAATACCTGTTGGTTCATGAGTGGCTCTCTCTCAGAGAGACAGACAGACAGAGACAGAGATAAACATAGATAAACAGGCATGTTTATGTAACAGCGAGAACAAAAAAAAAAAACATATGCCAAGGTTCACTGAGAGCAGTGCACTATCAGCAATATTATGTGACTGCACCATCAGCAGTGTAGTGACATTCTTGTCTGACACCGTGCTTCAAGGAACTTCATATACTCCAGCACCTCTAAAAACACTGCTGGAACCTATAAATAATTTTTTTTTTTTAACAAGTCGGCCATCTCCCACCGAGGCAGGGTGACCCAAAAAGAAAGAAAATCCCCAAAAAGAAAATACTTTCATCATCATTCAACACTTTCACCTCACTCACACATCACTGTTTTAGCAGAGGTGCTCAGAACACAACAGTTTAGAAGCATATACATATAAAGATACACAACATATCCCTCCAAACTGCCAATATCCCGAACACCTCCTTTAGAGTGCAGGCATTGTACTTCCCATTTCCAGGACTCGAGTCCGGCTATATAAAAATATTTATTTATATTTATGTGGAGTAAAACAAGGGTTGGATGTGAAAAGTGGGTTTTAGTGTTTTTGCACCTGGAGAAGAGAGAAGTGTAGAGAAGAGAGAGAGATTCTGGGAAATGTTGAGCGAGTGTGTGAGGAGTTTTGAACAAAGTGAAGAGTACTTGTCATTGGGGACCTAAATGCTAAAGTGGGTAAAAATGTTGTGGAGGGAGTAGTAGGTAAATTTGGGGTGCCAGGGGTAAACGAAAATGGGGGGGCCTTTAACCCTTTCAGGGTCCAGAGGCCAAATTTCAATGGGTGCCCCAGTGTCCAAGAAATTTTAAAAAGTCAAACAATTATTTTTTCTTACAGAATTAAAGATAATTTTGTGAAGATAATGAAACAAAAAAATTCTGATTAGTACTTATCGAGATACAGAGGTGTGAAGTTGACCCAAAATGACTGAGTGGCGGCAACATCCGCAAAGTCGCATTTGTTCATTTTACGTTTTTCATACTTTTTTCTTTTCTTTTCTAATTTTTTTCTTTTTCTAGTAACATTTGTGGCCTGTGAGAACAATACTGTATATAATGTATATATATACACTCACTGTCTTGAACACAATAACTGCACTAATTATTATAATAATGTTTACCAGTATTGTTTACAACAATAAACATGCACAAATGTTGTATATTACTAATGTTCTATTTTTTTTTTCAACAAACTGGCTGTATCCCACCAAAGCAGGGTGGCCCAATTTTCTTTTTAAACTTAGAAATTTGTACAAGAGAAGGGGTTACTAGCCCCTTGCTCCCGGCATTTTAGTCGCCCCTTACAACATGCCTGGTTTACGGAGGAAGAATTCTGTTCCACTTCCCCATGGAGATAAGAGGAAATAAACAAGAACAAGAACTAGCAAGAAAATAGAAGAAAACCCAGAGGGGTGTGTGTATATAGGCTTGTACATGTGTGTGTAGTGTGACCTAAGTGTAAGAAGTAGTAGCAAGACATACCTGAAATCTTGCATGTTTATGAGACAGAAAAAAAGACACCAGCAATCCTACCATCATGTAAAACAAATACAGGCTTTTGTTTTACACTCGCTTGGCAGGATCGGTAGTACCTCCCTGGGTGGTTGCTGTCTACCAACCTACTACATAGGATGTTCTATTATATATTTACATATGTACAGTCACTGGACACATTTCTAGAACTGCTGCAGTCTGTGGACGTCCTTGAAACAAGGTATCATGCACAGTGGTATCTTACATTCCTCGCACATAAACCCAGTGTCTTTGCAACTTTATTCCCATTGTTTTATTTGTGCACAGACTACACATCTCTTCTGAGCCCATTCCTTCTTAGTTGCATGAAGCTGTATTAGGAAATGATCACCTTCCCTCCTCAAATGCTTGGGTATTTCCTGAGGAGTTCGAGGACGGTTTTGTACAGCAGGTGTTGTTACCTGATACTTCATTATTAGTTGTCTGATGACAGAAAAACAAAATTCACCATACAGTGGTCTGTTGCCAGTCTTTATTTGGTACATATTATGTGCATTGAGCATTGAAATGTCCATGAGATGGAAGATAAGTTTCATGTACCACTTGTAACTAACGAACATGATCGACAAAGCTAATCTGCATGTCACATTTGTCAACCAAATACATGTTCTGTGTATAATCAATCACTGTTACTGGTTTTAAAATATGCTCATTAGTCACTATCAACTTTGCCACTGTCTTTCATTTCGTTAGGGTGAATGGTTGTCAACAATGTGACATCTCGTTTGTCATGCCACCATAATGCCATGATGTCATTGGCAGTAAACACCTGCACCTCACCACTTCAATTGCCTGCATTGAACCTGGGCATATGTTTACAATTAGATCCCACTGTGCCACACACATCTGTCATGTTTACGAGCAAGAAATCACTGAGTAAAGGGTTTGTGTACCAGTTATCAGAATATAATGTATGCCCCTTACCAAGATAAGGTGCCATCATGTTTCTCACTACGTCACCTGAGATACCCAATAACATTCTGGTATCTTTCAATGTTTTACTTCCAGTGTACATGTATACAATTATATCCAGTACCCGGCCACTGTCACAGAGTACAAACAGTTTTATACCAAAGTGTTTCCTCTTGCTCGGTATATACTGCTTGAATGACACTCTACCTTTAAACAAAATTAAAGACTTATCAATTACAAGATTCTTCAATGGATAAAAGTACATGTTGAATTTTTGTTTCAGATGCATAAAAACATTTCTAATCCTGTATAACCTGTTATTTCTGTCAGGCTTGGTTTTGTCAGAGAAGTGCAACATACGTAACAGTAAGATAAACCTGTTCACTGGGATGATTTCACTGATGGCTGGGGTACAAATTAGACGATCAGTGGACCAGTATGATTTTATATTATGCTTATAGACATGAGGCATAAGCATTATTGTTGCAAAAAGCAAATACATTTCATCCACAGTTGTCTCTTTCCACTGGTGTAGTCTTGACTGTGGTGATATGATCGTACAGTGGACCCTCAGGTAAAGGCTTCATCATTTAGCGCCAAAATTGGCTAATGGCTAGCTTTGGGGTAAAAATATTGGCTCGGCTAATGCCAAATAACTTGGCTAAGGGCTTTCATCCCGAACGTGTCTGCGCGGCCTGAGCGGGCCCAGACACTCCATGACTTTGTGTACAGCCAGTGTGCCATTGTTTACAAGCCAGGGAGGACGGTTCCATGCATATAAGCGATATATTTAGTATTATTCCATTGTTTTTAGTGCTTGTAACTGCTAAATAAGCCACCATAGGCCCAAAGAAAGCTTCTAGTGCCAGCCCTGTAATAAAGAAGGAAAGAAACAATAAAATTCAAGAAAACACTCATAGCAAAGTATCAAAATGGAGGAGGGAGAGAGAGGAGAAAATGTGCCTTCTGCAGTGATTCAGTGATTCTACGATATGCACAATACTAAAGCAGCAGGTATAGATAAAGGCTATAGTGCTAGCCAGCAACAAAGTGTAGAATTAACAGTGTAGCAAGTAAGTTAAGCGAGTAAGTGATAGAAAAATGACACGAAAATAACTCTCCAATGTTGTTGGATGTGTGTATATCCGCTGAACACACACTGCCCTGCTGTCTTCCACCACCCTAAACCTCTGCCAGCATCTCCTCCATCAAACTAACATCTCCTCCAAGTGTAAATATAAAAGTGTAAGTATAAAAGTAAATATAAGTGTATATATAAAAGGACCCCAATGGAAATACGCAAGTCACTCTGACTTTTTTGGGTTATCCTACGTACTTTACACATATGCTGCTATGTATGATAATCTATGTACACCTACCATCCGACTTATGACCTGCTCGACATACGTCCACTCGACTTACGACCATACATCTGGCAGCTGGGCTGGGCCGGCTGATACATACCACTGTACAATATTTGACGATACTCACAGCGGCAATGCGCCATGCAGGCAGCATCAGTTTGAGTTACCCTGCCCTATCAGCAGCATCATACATATTGTATTAACTGTACTAACTGGACAGTAAATTTCACCATGGTCCCTAAGAGGAAGTCTGAATTTTGCACAGCAGATTGTGGCAAGAAGGCAAGAAAGGCTCTTACTCTCAAACTCTATTTGTTTTCATTGTTGCACATAAATCTGTCTGCATCTGTCTGCCTGTATATCT